GGATGGAGAAGATTAACACGGATTACAAACGACGAATTTGAAAAATTGAGGCTAAACTTTTCAATATGCGCAAACCGTGACTGAGCTCCTTTAAGCTTATATAAAAACAAGTAAGTCTTTCCAGTCGCCCAAAGGCAAAAGTTAGTCGCCTTGTGGCACCTGGATGCCTCTAGAGCACAGCCCTGAGTGTTCATGGGCTTTCCAACCAAGTTATTGTACTTACATTTGATTTTGCTTATTTCATATTCAGGATCTAAATAGACCTCAAGAAGATGTAACTGATAATGCAGGACACAACACCGAAGACAGCGAGCAGAATGACACCAATGATTCTACAGAACCACCTGCCCCACCCACTCCACCCCCGGGACCATCGGCCACAACTGTAGCTTACAACTTTGTCACCTCGTTTTTCACGTCACTATTTCCAAATGGGCCTGGTGTTCAAAATTAATACATCAAGGAACTTTTTGTGAGAATTATTATTCTACTGGTGGAGTAGCCTTTGTGGATTATTTATGGAATTCTATGTGCTGGATGCTGAAAAACTGTAAAATTCAGCTTATGGTACAGTGTAGGCCTTAAAATTTATTTTAAGTGTATGGGTAATTATCTAAGTTGCATAAACACCAAACAAAAAGTAAAAGATATTTTTATACACTTGTAGCATAAATAATACCAATATTGATGCTAAAATGTACATGGATGTAACTTCTATTATAGTAAAATATCGTTCTTAAGCATAGTTGTCTAGGCCTAATGTGCAGTTGGCTAAATCAATGCCACAAACATACTATTGCCGCTCTGTGTATGAGTAAATGGTGACAAGATGGATTGTCACTTGTCAGTCATGGAAGGTGGCTGGCTTACCTGCATTGAAGGGTTTTTTTCCGTGGAAATTATGCTGTTACAATACAAGTTTGAGATATTCTCATTTTAGATCGCTTGTTACCAGCAAAGCAAACATTTACATGTACATGTACAGTGTATGTTTCTATCAACTCAGTTTATGTCCTATTAGCTGCTGCTCCATCTATCGTTTTGATGAAGATGACTGAAAAGTTGCCAAGGTCATGATGAGATATGCAATGTATAAAGATTTTAATTAGTTCCTCTGTAAGGTTGAAAATAAAGGATATCTTGGTCTTTTCACTTGCGTTTGGGACCCCACACCTTCCATGAAGTAACCCAGGGATCGGGAATCGTGCTTGCATCGTCTTAAAAATGGTACACAAGGGATCGCAAACCCATCTCGCACAGAAATTGAAGAAGAAAAAGTAACAAAAAAAGTGCAAAAAGACGCACACTTTTATTTTCGTGTTAGAAAGGATATCCCAAATATTAAAACTGTTAAAAAAAAAAAAAAAGATGGCGTTGTTTGGTAACTGTTATTTGCTGGTTAAAGCCAAGGCAATCATGAATCGCAGCCGTACACCTCAACCCTCATGCAGACGTAGTTGTAAGTCACAGGGTAAAATCTAACGTATCTTGCAGTCATGCCATGTTCCAAAATGTTCACGACAGGTGTAAAGTGGTCACAATTGCCGTCGAAAATCTGCAAATTTAAAGAGAAGAAAATCAGTGAAAAGATTACTATTGATAATGTTTGATTGTCTTCAGACACTAACCCTAAATATTGAAAAAATGTACATGTCTGTGCCTTCCCCCCCCCTCCCACCCCCCACAAAAGACAGAAAATAGTTGTTTTCTGAGGGAACAATCCTCGCTGTTTCAAAGTAGCTGGTAGTTTTCGATCTTTGTTGACCAATCAGAACCGCGAAAGGGTGCTCTCCTCAGCTGTCCCTCATTTTGCCCTCGTTTGTGCGTCTCGCTTTCGGTGGCGCGTTCAAATGATTGGTGAATGTTTATATGACCGAATAGCGGGGACGGCATCCGCTAACTTTTCGAGAAAAGGCCCAATGTGAAACTTTGTTGTTCAAATAGTTACTTGAAAGTGGCCTTTAAACCCCCGCCATATGTTGAGAGTGGGAGAAAATAAACCTTAATTTCTCACCTTGTCTTCTCCACTTATCTTGACGAAACTCCACGTGATTCCGTCCTGACTGAAAGCAAGCTTGTATGTTTTGACATGCTCATAGTACTTATGCCGACCTATGGTATTTGAAGAGAACATACATTTTAAATCACAGAACTAAAAAGTTTGATGAGAGCTTTTAAAGACTGAGTCATTTTAGTCAACTGGTTCATACAAAGAGAGCAAACAGGTCCGAGAAATTATTTCGCTTTCAAAAAGGTCTTCGACAACAAGTAGTCCCTCTTTTACTTAGTCCGTAGTGCGTGACGTCAAAGAAAACCTCGAGAAAAAATGGAGCGCGCGAAAAGATTTCGCAAGGCCATTTGTTTTCTCGCGCTTTTCTTCCGCGTCACGCACGACGGAATAAGTGAAAGGGGTACTACACGTGGTCTAAGAAGGTATAGATAGAAAGCGCATTGCATTTTAATAATCCAAAGTTAATAATAAACCGATTACCTTGCGTCGCAACAGCAGTAATGTATTTTTCATTTCCTAAGTCAACCTGCAGCCACTGGTTTTTCGGAGTCGCTGCGCACCAGGCCCCGACGCGTTTGGCTTTAAATTCGTCTGTAAAATACAGTCTTGCATTGCGAGCTCCGCTATCCCATCCGCCACCTGGAGCCGAGCAACGCAGTCAGTAAATGAGAAGGAAAGGAAGACAAAGGGAAACATACACTTGGAAAATGATACAGCAATTTTCTTACCAACGTCGAGGATCGAGGATGCCGAGAACGCGCTGTCGGGTAGCTTAAAGTCCCAACCTACTCCAAGGGGACTGGAGCAAGGAGCTGCAGGAGGAAAAAAAACGAAATAATTAGCAAAAGATGATAATAAATTCAACTATGGCGTTGAAATAAGGCTTTTTTTCCCCAACATTTCAATTCTGATAGTTTCCAAAAGGTCGGTTGTAAGATCGCACAAGGTCTCTCATGAATGGCTCGATACCCTTTGAGAGAATAATAGAACAAACAAATTACAGAAACACTATTTCCCCCCCCCCAGACTACTAGCTGCAACATGACGACAAACTTGATTATAAGCTCACAAAAGATGCTACACTTCCCTTTCGAACACTTCTTTCAGCAAATCAAATATCACGGCGGATTATAACGGCTTTAAAGTTCTTCGATTAGCGAAGAAATTGTAAAAAAAAAAAACACATCAAAATGCCAGAAGAGAGCCGGATTTAAAATGATTCCCTGAAAGACAACATGGAGTTCCAGTTGGACGAATTCATGTTCGGCCATAAAACCAATAATTACTAACGTAAGAACTTATTCCTCTTCAGTAACATTCCAAGAAAGAGGAATTTCAACATAAAGCAAACATTCCACCCGGCTCAACTAACCTACGGGCCTGACAGGCTGTTTGTCGCATCGTTTGGATCCGCAGCTCTTCTTGCAGTTTTCTTCCATCCAGCCTGGATTAGCTGAACACTGACCTGCTGCGGCAAAGTCAGGACAGTTTGGATGGCGGTCCTCGCACTTCATACCTGGGAAAAAGACGAAAAGCGGAATGAAATCAGCACGTTAAAATGAAGGCGCTATTTCATAGAAGCTTAATTAATTGAGTAGTTCTCTGGAAAGTTGCCCTACACAGCCTGAATTTTTTCTAATTTTCCTAACGCATAACGCGAGGAATATTGCTACTCGCTCTGGATGAGATGCAACTGATTCAGCCTCGATCGCAACTACTAATTTATACTCCTGAAGGGGAAGAGAGGGACTGTCGGAGCAAAGTGTCTACCTCAAGAACACACTCAACACAATAATGACCCAAGTATTCGTAAGGACTCGAGCCCGGACCCAGCGCTCGATCTGCTGTCCACCGTTCCATTGGCTGTGTTAGCGCGTCACATAACGTCCGACAAAACAACACAGGGTACTTCAAACATTTTATAACAAAAAAGGTTTTGTTGGTACGACACGCGCGACACAAGTTCCCGTTTCTTCATTACTCTGATCTCACTCCCACACTAGCTACTTCTCAACATACTCTATGGCTAAACATGCTCAGTTGATGATTTTACCGGTAGGTTTTTCCGGCTTGATGACGGGTGGGCGCGGCTTGATAGTTACTGGCGGTTTAACCGTTACTGGGATCGTTGTTGAAGAAGCGGGAGGACGAGGCGGTGTGTTTGGCGGTGCTGAAGTCTGGGGAGGAGGTGGTGTGTTCGGTGGAGACGGAGTCTGAGGAGGTGTTGTGTTTGGCGGGGGTGGAGTCTGGGGTGGAGGTGGTGTGTTCGGTGGAGACGGAGTCTCGGGAGGAGGAGGTGTGTTTGGCGGGGATGGAGTCTGGGGAGGAGGTGGTGTGTTTGGGGGAGGAGGCGTTTGGGGAGGAGGAGGTGTCTGCGGTGGAGGAGGGGTCCGGGGAGGTGTCACTGGTCCTTGTCCAATGTATTTTCGAATCCAGGATTCAAATTCGCTGACGCGAGCGAAGACAGTGTATTCGTTACGACCTGCGCTGCAGGTTCGAGTTCCCCAACTGACGACACCATGGATCACATATTTTCCTCCGCTTTGCTGACAAACAAATGGACCACCTGAATCACCGAAGCAACCACTGACTGTACTTGAGCCACCAAAACCACCACAGATCTGAGAGGTAAAACCAAAAACAACGTCTTACAGCGGAATGGAATGATTACTGACTGCTTGCTATGTCACAGGCAGAGCTGATTATATCAAATTAAACTCAGATTCAGATTAACTAATATTCTAATAAGAGATGAAAACAAGTGACAATAGGATTCTGATTTTAATTGGTGGATTTGCCACCTTAGAGCTAGTACGATAGACATGACATGCATGGAATGTCAAAGCATTTTACCGCGTACCATTTTACTGGTCACTGTGCCCCAGTATCGCATATAAGTCCTACACTTGTCTTGCTGTGCCACTGGAAGGCTAGCCTCTTGAAGGACTGAAGCGCCAGGACGATTGTACCCTGTCCTACCCCACCCTGTGAGGAAACGAGCCGCAAACGAGACAAATTAGACAACCAGACAAATTTTAACAATGAGTCTCCAGCACTTACATGTGAAATGTGATTGAATCTGACGCGCTCACCAGTAATTGTGCAGTATTGTCCAGCGGAGACACTCTGTCCCTGTTTTGGAAGGCAAACAAGAGCCACGGCCTTGTTAAGTGTTGCCGGACGATCCAACTCCAGTAAAGCTGGAAGAGCAAAGAACGACATGATGATAAAAAAGTACTTTGTTTCAACAAACCGTCGCAGTAAACTGTGCACGAATTTGCAAATGACTTTCCCATTGTTTTCTACCCATTTTTCCATGTGATTTATAGGGCTCAAAATATAGTATTTATCAGCTCTCGTCTTCATTTATTGCGTGAAGGTATCGATGTAGCAAGGACTAAAGATGATAAAATCTGCGACATAAGTTTAACCGGTCAAATTGTGTGACCAGTCCATCTAGGACGACTGCAGAACTGAAAAAATAAATTAAGGTGCTTATAGCACCATTTTAACACTCAGTCTTACTCACCCATATCATTGTTCGTTGTTGCTCGTTGGTAATAGGGATGAACAATAATTCTCTTCACAGAGAAATACTGCTCGCTGCCTTCGCGTCTCCGAATATCGTGCTCACCTGAAAATAAAAAAAGGAGAGTTTGAAACAAGTAAACTAAGCTTTAGGGACTATGGAAAATCTACCAACATCCTCTTACTAAGATTATCAGTCAAGTAAGGCGCGACGAAAGTTTGGTGACCAGGTTTTAACGTTCAACTTGCGTTGTTGTCATGGGCAACTGGCTCCGTTTCTTGTGGCAGCTTGTCGGCCTTTGATGTCATTGGCAGCAAAGCGCGCGAAATTGCAGGCCACGGTATTGTTACCATAGGAAACGAGGAAAGTTGCCAGTGGCAACACCGTAATTTTAAGTCCAAAACTTCGTCACCAAAGCGCCGTCGCGCTCTACTCAACTGATAATCGTAGTATGTCGACGTTTCTGTCTTGATGAAATAAAAGAGTAGCTTACCTAAAGTAACACGATAACCTGGGTTATGGGAGCTCCCTTTCACGCAGTGCGCGGCAGTGAGTACCCAACGAGGTGCAACCAAAGAGCCCCCACACTTGTGAGCCCCATGAAGTGTCATCCGAGCCTGCCATGGCCAGCTGTTCTTGTCAGCAGTCTTACCATTGACCACACGGCCGGACGATCCATAATGTCTTACGCCGCAGTTTTGATCTGTGGATGAGTCATTTACAACATTTATCAGAGCGAATAATACCTCAACATACTAGCTTAGTTTTGTTAGCAATAAAAATGACAAGAAGATGCGATGGTTAATAGGTTGTAAAAAGTGTTGTTCTTGGAAAGAGGGTGGTAGCGGAACTTAATTAGAGAACGGGGGGTAACGGTGACAAAATAAAACTTTCCCTTACTCGGAACAACCGGTTTGCTTGTTGACGGCTTAGGTCTCACGGTCGGTGGCTTGGGTCCAACTGTCGGTGGCTTCGGTTTGACGGTTGGGGGCTTGGGTCTTACAGTCGGTGGTTTCGGTTTGACGGTGGGTGGTCTGGGACATAGCCGACAACTCTTCTGACAATTTCTCCTTGTGTACATGTTGGTACGACAATAACCATATCTAGACCACGTATAGCAACGATAGTCCCTATCAATGCATGCCTGAGTACCACCTGTTAAGGGAAAACAAAAATTGTCAACTGATCTTGACGTACGCATTCATAGCGACAGAAGTAAGGTTAAGTCCATTCCACAGACTTTGAGAAGACCCTCTCGTCCCATAATTGGTCAAGCAAGAAGCGAAACGAAACGGAGAACAAAAATAATGGACCTTGTTTGCCAAACATTTTTATATTTTATTATATGGAGAAGAGTGTTTTACTGGGAACTAAACCACTCGTAGATTCCATACGCCACTTCATCCGGGACCCGAGTGGCGTATTTTCCG